CAATTTTTTGTGTGTACACATGTGCATGTGAGCATGTGTATTTGTGTGCTGAAGCAAAACACAAAATGCATTTCTTACTGTAACTCACAAAAGTTTAAAAAATATTTAGCTGAACAATCATCTCGTAATACCTTTCATAAGCTTATTCTTAGTTAGCTCTTCATCACAATCACTATTTCTCTTCAAAAATAAGTGCAGGGGCTGGGAAGGTGGCTCAGTGGTAGAGTGCTTGCCTTGCATGCCAGAGGCCCTGGGTTTGATTCCTCAGCACCACATAAGAAAAAAGCCGGAAGTGGCGCTGTGGCTCAAGTGGCAGAGCGCTAGCCTTGAGCTGAAGAGCAGAGGGACAGCGCCCAGGCCCAGAGTTCAGGCCCGACGACCGGACCAAAAAAACAAAAAAACAAAAATAAGTGCAACAGATGCTTATTTATATCACCGGAAACAAATCAATTTCAAGGAGTAGGAATTTCGTCTAGTAAGGCTCTCATCCTGTGTTTAACTCTATGCCTAGTAGCAATGGGAAACAGAGTGTCCATAATTAGAAGAAGAAAGGAAATCTAAGTGATTCTGATAGTTGTATCCATACCCTACTCTACTGCACGGTATAAAGAAGAAGTACAGTAGAAGTGAAGTTTTGGTAGCAGTGAGGGCAGGTACAGTGGCTCATGCCTATATAATCCTAGCTAGCTACTCAGGAAGTATCTAGAAGACCATGGTTCAAGACCAGCCCAAGACTCTATCTCATAAAAATCTGGATGTGGTAATGTGACAGCTATGTGCAAGAATCATGGTTAAGGCATAAATGTAAGATCCTATTCAAAAACTTACTAAAGCACAGGCACTGGTGGCTCACGCCTACAATCCTAGCTATTCAGGAGGCTGAGATCTGACAATCACAGTTCAAAGCCAGCCCAGGCAGGAAAGTCCATGAGACTCTTACCTCCAATAAACCACTAGAAAACCAGAAGTGGCGCTGTGGCTCAAGTGGTAGAGCATTCGCATTGAGCTGGGACAGTGCCCAGGCCCAGAGTTCAAGCCCCAGGAATGACAAAAAAAAAAAAAAATCAAACAAAAACTTACTAAAGTAAAATGGGCTTAGGGACATAGCTCAAACAGCAGAGCATCAGCCCGGCAAGTGAAAAGCCCTGAGTTCAAATACTACTACCACACTTAAGAAAAAAAAGTAATTTTTCAGCTGAGTATGGTAATACACATCTATAATTCCAACATTAAGGAGGCTGAGGCAGGATAATTATGAGTTGGAGTTAAAGACCAGCATGGGCTACATAGACCTTGTTTCAAAAAAAAAAAAAAAAAATATTCCATTGTTGATGTTTCTCAAATTCCCCAACACACTAGCATGTACCTGTCAATGAGACCTTTGTTAATAAGAATACCCTACCTACCTACAGACTGTTTTTGCAATAAATTAGAGCCATGTAGTATTTGTTGAATTGTGAATAGGCAAGAAGAAATAACGGTTCAGCAAACAGTTGTCAAACCTGACATTAAGAAAATCAGGCTTTGGGTAAAAAATAAGTTTGTTTGTTTTTGCTTTTTATTTAAGCATACTAAAGTGAGTGAGGAGCAAAGAAGTATCTTGAATATATTCTTGGCTATACTATATCTATCACAACAACACAGACTGAAACTAGATTTTTTTTTTCATGAGTATTTTTATAAAGAATTGTGTTTTCTATTTTTATTGTTATTTAGAAAACAAAAGGGCTCATTATTGCAAGTACACTAATTAACTGTAGCCAAAATCTAACTATAAATCAACTGAATATATGCCCAAAAATTTCCCAGGAAAATCCCAAAAATTTACACTAAAAAAAAACACCAAATGATAACCAAAAAAAAAAAAAAGGAATGAATATGAACTTGCTATACTCAAGCAACTGTGGTATGTTGTTATTTGAGAAATAACAATATGAAAAGAAAGTAAATGAAGTATAAAAAAAGAATGTTGAGACACAAGTTCTGCTGAATTCCATTAACTCTTCCTTATTAGGGTCTACTGATGTCCACATACTTATGCCCAATTCAAATAATAACTACAAAGTTAAAAATATTCCCCAGGGATGGCACAGGGTGGCACAGGCCTATAATCCCAGCTACTTTGGAGACAGAGGTAGAAGATGGAGATCCAAGGCTGGCTGAGGCAAAAGACATATCTGAAATGCAAACTAAAAGGGAAAAGAGTGGGAGCAGAGCTCCCATTTGCCTAGCAAGTGTGAGGCCCTAAGAATCCCCAATACTGAAGGGGAAAAAAAGGAAAAAAATTATTCCCTTCTTTGAAAAGCTAGAAACCAATCAATATCATTCTCCATAATCTAAATATACAAATACACATGATAACATTTTAAAAAACTGAGGATGTCCTAACAACACAGGCTCAGGTCTAACCTTTCTCTGCTTCCATTCAGCCATGAAAATGTGCATAAGAAAATCTCCATAAAGAAATCTGAGTTGTCTTTCCTTAGACCCCAGAACTGACCCATTTATATAAGTTAAGAGTTACAAGCAGGAGGCAACTAATTAAATCTTATGAGACTAAGAAAAAAAGAGCACTGGGTTTGGAATCCCACAGGTTACAGTATCCATTTTAACTCCCAAACCCCCTTTTCCACTCAATACACTTAAATAATAACAATTCTACTTAAATACAGTAGTAGGCTGGAATATAGTCTCAGTTTTACACTCCCAATATACAATTTTGCTACTTAGCTACTACTCTCTTCAAAGTCATTAGGTTAAAGTCTCCTTGTCTCTCCCACAACAGAATTCCTTGACTACTCCAAAAAAAAAAAAAAAATGGATACAAGAACTTAAATACATTTTGTTTTATTTTGTTTTGAAGAGTTAGCAAGGGAACCCAGGAATCCACCCATGTGAGGCAAGCACTCTTCCTGAGCTCTATCTCAGGACTTTCAACTTTAATGCAATATCATCTAAGAGTTCAAATAAATATACCATAATTAAGCAATTTCAAGTCTGAGTTAAGGCAAAAAAAAGAAAACCTTAAGTACAAGTTTTTAAAGGTCACCAACTTAGAATTGGTGAGCTAAAAAGCATAAAACTCCTGCTTCATATGAAAACAAATAATAACCTCAAATTAAGAAAAAATAATTATCTGAACTGTGAAATAATTCTCAAACATATGAACATTCTCCAAAGATCACAATAGTAATATACAGAAATTTCCATTGAATAATTCTGGCAAAGAAAAAAAAGAAACTTTATGCATTTACAATCATACCTTTTCTGGTCGGTTTTTATGTTTACTGTTTACATCAATAGTACTGGGACCTACTACCTTCTTTCCAGCTCTAAATTACAATGTAATCTACATATATGTTTACAGATAAGCCCTTCACTACTATTTCTCTCAGTTGATTTAGTAATAAAATAATGCTCAGTCACATCTTTGTTCAATGTTCAAAGGGGGGGGTCATTGTGATATTTCCAAATATGTATACATGGTGCCCATCAATCTTACCCCCTTCTTATGCTAGATCACATCTTGAATTGCCTTGGTAAAAATACCAGCCTAACTCAGTCTTCACTTCTGGAACAAGTGAATTTTTAGTATAATCTGATGATAATGTACACATTAAACTCATCTAGCCTTTCTTCTTTGTAATCTCATTTTCAGTTTTATGTGTAATGCTCTACTAAGATAAGAAATCATGGGCCATTTTTCCAGGACTAGTAGCTTGTGGACCAATTGTTTTTCACGGGCAAAATTCAGTTCCCAGAAGACCACAGACTTCATGTCCCTATCATCTGACATCTTCACTAATGAATATTCTATAGAAGTGCAACAGACACTACATGTAAACACTACTTTGAGTAACGTCAAAAGGCCCTCATGAAATTGTGTTTTCTTAACTGTCACAATTATTTACGTCCTAGCATATGTAAGAAAGTTTGAATGTGTTTTTTTTTTTTAATTCCTAAACCTTACTGAGCAAAAAAAAAAAAAAAAAATGTGAACCTTTAAATCAGTTCCCGAACATCCCCGAAATCTGTCAAGCAAGCAAACGGGCTCCTTAACTATTAATGTCATGGGGTTAGCATTTCAGTTTACACGAAACCATCAGTCCTGCCAAGTGCCCAGTTAAATGTCAGTTCGTTTTCTACGATAGATAGATCTGAGAAGTTCTGGGGAAGATACCCAAGCTCCCGCACGCACACACTGGCCCGGGATGGGACCGGGGCCCCGTCAGTTACTCCCGGCCACTCGCGCGGGCCGGTGGCCCCTTTCCACGAGCTGACGCACTGCACAGCTGGCGACCAGTGCAAAGTACTAGCCCGGTCGCAGAAACTTTGACTCAGTAATCGGGACGCCCCACACTCCCAACCTGGGGCCGGGCGGGGAGCGAGGAGGAGGGGAGGGGGCGGGAAGGCCACCGCCCAGGCAGTCAACTTTAACGCGGGGCGTTCTCGGCAGGTAGAGATCTGCCCAAGACACGGCCCGTCCCAGACTGCGAAACCACAAGCATCCGCAGCGGCGGAGCAGAAGTGCCCGGCGTAGGAGACACACCGGGTCACCGAAGCCGCACGAGGGTAAGAAAACACGGCAGCCTCACGCCCCCCCCCCCCGCGCGCCCCGCCTCCGGACGCGGGCCCGCGGGGACGGCGAACTCCGCAGCCGCCGCACGGCCGCGGGCGGCGGCGGTGTCAGGAGGGCACAGCCCGAGGCGCGGGCCGCCCGGCCGCCACCCCGCCCCCAGGTGAGGGGCGCCGCGCCCGCCCGGGCCGCGAACAGCCGCCACCGGAGACCGCCGCGGCGTCCGGGCGGCGGCCGACAGTTCCGAAGGCGCCCGGTATCCTCCTCCCACGGTCCTCCGCATCCCGGTCCCGGGTCGGGCCCCCGCCTCAACCGCGCTCCAGGACCAGCCTGGACGCCAGTACCCCGCGGCCGACGCACACGGACCGCCGCTCCCGGCCGCCGGGCCGCCCCGGGCCCCTCAGGAGGGCCGCCCCCGCCTCACCTCACGTCTCCGCGGACGCTGCCGGAACAACAACTCTGTCAGGCGCCAGGCGTCCTACCCGCCGCTCGGCGCTCGGCGGCCGGGCCCGTCCCGTTCACTCCGCCGCCTCAGAGCCCAGGGAGGGCGGAGGGAGCGGGGCGGAGGGAACCCGGAGGGGAGGGGAGGGAGAGACCGCCCGGCAGGAAGAGGCGAGGGTGGGGGCGGGCTGAGGAGGAGGAGGAGGAGGAGGGGAATCGGGAGCGCGCGCGTCTGGGCCTCTTGGCGCGGCGTGCGCGTTCACGAGGGCAAAGGCGCCTTTCCCCCGCCCGCCGCCGCGGCCGCGGCGCGTGCGCGCGTGCGCGCGAGCACCGCCCCGCCTGGCAGGATTGGCCCGAGAGCATCCAGAGTGCTAGAACCGAACCTGCCGGAGCCTGAGTTGAATGAACCCGGACGCGCGCGCGAAGGAGCGGGAGAGTCCAGCTCCTGGGAAGCAGCTCCCAGGGAGCCCGCGCCCGCCAGCCAGCTCCAGCCAAGTGGACTGAAGTCCCGCGGAGCAGTCGCTGAGTTTCTGAGCGCTCCGTTTGGGAAGGTGGTTTCCTGGCTCAGAAAACCTGGTTTACATGTTTTCCGATCTCAGGGCCGGGTCGTGATCCGGGGAGTCACCTCCAAGAACAGGAACTTTTCCCCTTTATCCCTTTCTGCCCTTCTTTCAAGCTGTGGCGCCTAGTGAGCACTCTGAAGAGACTGAAGACGAGGGAAATGCATGGGGAAAGAGGAGATAAAGCTGAGCGATATTGTGCAGTTACATGGAGACACGGTACCCTCGTGTGCATCTTTTTCTCCTTTGGTACCATCTAGGTAGCTCTTTTTGCTACCAGTAGTGTACTGATGATTCTTGAACTGTGAATATCTTTCTTCCTAGATCCTCTGGCTGTACATTATCTGATATTCCTTAGCACTCCATTCTGTAGGTTTCTGACACCTTATGTATTTGACCTGATCGGTGTTCATCTGTGCAACTTTTTATTGAAGACCTGCTTCGTTCGTTGTTTTTTGTCTTCTGTAATGGAACAGGCCTGATTCAGGAAGTATTCAATAAATGCATGAATACAGTACAGCACAGGTTCATTGTGTCCAGTGACTTGTGCTCTGAGATGACTTCTTTCATTTAAAATTCTTTCTTCCAGCTCCCTTAATTTCCCTGCTCTGTTTTCTCCATCTGTGTCTAAAAGTTAACTCTGAGAGGACATTTGTCCAAAGGTTCCTTTTTCCTAATGGTAATGTCAAGAGATGCACATCTACTTTGTGTCTCCCCTACCTTTCTGGGTGCTTTATTAAACTCTGTATCCCCAGAGGCTTTCTACCCCTGGGCCTGACTCAGTGAGTACTGGAAGTTCTGATGGTATTAATGATTAGAATGACACATCTGTTGACTTCCTGACATATACAAGGTCTATTTATAAATATGAAATAAGAAGATATTGAGACTCTACTAAGTAAAACATCAGTAAAGTTACACTGGGAACCATGAGTATGTCAATACATGGAAAAACCATACTTTCTGTCTTCTGATATCTAAATGGAGTGAAAGTTTTAGACAAAAAGAACAATATTGTAGTAATTTATTGGCATTCCATATGAAACTTTGGCAGAAAAAGAAGAAAGACAAAATGAATTTTTATAATAGAGTACTAATTCAGCCCAGGATTCCCTGAATTCAAATCTCAGCACCACCATAAAAGAAGTAGGAGAAGAAACTGGGAGGCCTAAGTCCAGATCTAATATGGAAACACGTTTTGTTTGTCATGCCTTATACTTATTTTAAAAGTCAAAGCTAAAAATTAGAAGATTTCATATGTATTTTGGAATTCTCAGCGCTCTCTGTCTCTATATTCCCTATCATTCCTTACACTGTTCCATTTCACTGACTTAGGTCTGGATCTTACAAGTTATAATATCAAAAACTGTAAACAGGTTAAATACTAAATAATGAAAGAGTATAGATTATAATATTTTATGGTGTGGAATATCATACTGCTTTTATAATAGGTGATACTGATTGATTCCTGAGCAGACATTTCTAACCCCCGCGTTTCTAACCCCAAGAATTCAAAAGATCAATTTACAGCTCCAAATGTGGGTCCCATTGATGTATGATAATCAGCGTAATATTCTCACCCGACTCTCGGTGTTTGTGGGTCTAAATCAGTCTATCTATACAGAAGACTGGAACTTATGTTTGTTAAGCACTGTCACTGCGGCTGGTGTAATTCAGGGAGCAGTCACTTTGTCCCATGAAGGAAGTCATCCTAACAGGATACATGAAGAGCACAATTTCAACATAAGCTTTCCTCTGTAAATTTTTTTTTTTTTTTTTTGGTTGGTCATGGGGTTTGAACTCTGGGTTTGGGTGCTGTCCCTCAGTTCTTCAGCTCAAGGCTAGTGCTCTACCGCTTGAGCCACAGCGCCATTTCTGGTTTTTCTCGTGGTTTTTTTGTTTGTTTGTTTGTTTTGTTGGTCATGGGGCTTGAACTCTGGGCTTGGGCGTTGTCCCTCAGCTCTTCAGCTCAAGGCGAGCGCTCTACCACTTGAGCTACAGCGCCACTTCGGGTTTTCTGGTGGTTTTTGGAGATAGGAGTCTCACGGTCTCTCCTGCCCGGTCTCTCCTGCCCGGTCTCTCCTGCCCGGGCTGGCTTTGAACGCGATCCTCAGATCTCAGCCTCCTGAGTAGCTAGGATTACAGGCGTGAGCCACCAGCGCCCAGCTTCTCGTGGTTTATTGGAGATAAGTCTTATGGAGTTTCCTGCCCGGGCTGACTTTGAAGTGTGATCCCCAGATCTCAGCCTCCTGAGTAGCTAGGATTACAGGCTTGAGCCTCCAGCGCCCGGCACATTTTTGTTTTTGTTTTCCTCTGTAAATTTTCTTAGCTATTTGAAGAAGTCTATTAAGGCCAGGCACAGTGACTCATACCTATAATCTGTCTACTCTAAAGGACGATTGCAGTTTGAGGCCAGCCCAGAGAAAAAGTTAGCAAGACCCAGCTTAATTAGTAAGCCAAGTAGTAGGGTGCACACTTATAACCCTTACTACTATGGAAGCTGTGAATAAGAATATCACAGTCTGAAGCCAATCCCAAGAGAAAAAGACAATAGATAGAATTTTTTAAATGCATCACAAAGGCTCAATAGCTATGTGTATGTGATGATATAAAGTGATGTTTATCAAAAAGAACTCGGAGAAATGAAAACGACTTTTTTTATTTTACTTTTTGTGATTTTAACCTTTTTTCTGTTTTTCCCCTTTTGTTGCTATTTTTTATTTCTGTACCTTTTGTGTGTAAGTTTGTCTGATTTGGGGGGCATAAGGGGAAACACAGAAATGGTGGGGAAAGGGTGGACTAATTCAGCAGTGATACTAGACACTATGTTGAAAATGAACTATAAAACTTAGGGGAGTTGGGTGGAGTTGGGAGGGGAAAAAAAAGAGAAAATGAGGGAAGAGATGAAACTGTTCAAAAAGAAATGTACTCATTACCTGATTTATATAACAGCAGCCCCTCTGTACATCACCTTTAAAATTTAAAAAAATAAGAATTTAAAAAATGCAGAATCCTACCTGAAAAATAACTAAAACAGAAAAGGGCTGGGAGTGTGTCTAAGTAGTCGAGCACCTGTCTAGCCAAAGCTCTAGTTCCGAGAGAGGGGGGGTTGGAGAGAGAGAGGGAATTTAGTTTCACTTTTTATATAGTATATAGTTCTAAAAGGCAATGATTCTTTTATGGCACTCAATAAAATCCGGACTTTAGGATACTATACAGAAAAAACTACCAAGTTCCTTGGCCCCCAAATTCAGCGTATGAGTTGCACAAATACTAATGTTGATTCTGTATGTTACTTTTTTTTTGGAGTGGAGAACAAGTACTAAGGCTTGAACTCAGGGCTTGGGAACTGTCTGTTAGCTTTTCTGAACAAGGCTGATGATCCACCATTTGAGCCACATCTCCACTTTCAGCTTTCTGGTGTTTAGTTGGAGATAAGAGTCTCATGGGCTCTCCTGCCTTGGCTGGCTTTGAACCATGATCTCAGAACTCAGCTTCCTGAGTAGCTAGGATTACAGTCATGAACCACTGGTGCTGGGCTGTATGTTCATTATTTTTAACATCTTATTGAAGTTACATACAATTCACTGAATGTATTTGAAGTGTAAAATTTTGCATAGTTTGATATATGTATATACCTGTGAAAACATCACCCACAATTGATAAATAACATGGCCAACATCCAAAAAGTCTCCTATGTCCCTTTATCGACTCTGCCTCATCTCCTGCATCTTCAAACTTCCACTGATCTGCTGTCACTATAGATTAGATTGCATTTAAAGTTTTCTATAAATGGAGACTTACATGATGTGCTTCTTGTGTTGCCTTCTGCATTCAGTGTAATTATGCTTTTTATTTCAAGATTCATCTATGAAGTCACACATATCAATGGTCTGTTTCACTTCAGTCTTCTAAGTCTCACAGCAGGAATCCAGGTCCAAGGCACAGGAGCCACTGGGCTCTGCCATCTACTTGGTTTCAGCTCCCTCTAATACTCTTCCTTTGTTTTACCTTCTCTAGAACCAGCGAATTTCCCTTTCTTGCTTACAAGCTTGGGAAACAATATATTCCTTCAACTTTTAAAGTTATTGAAGCATTTTTATAGTTTTGGAAAAGTAAGGAATCATCTCATCAGCTTACTTTACCATATTAATCTAAATTTGTATTAATTTTCTAATAGTGTAAAGGAATTCTTTTTGGAAAGAACTTAATTTGTTACAATGTAAAGAAATTATAGGCAGGGAAGTAGCCTGCCTCACTGTGGATGTGGAATCAGCCATTTTAGCAGAGTTCTTTCTTTCTGTTGTTTTCCCAACATCAGTATGATCAAGCATAGCTTTGGCAGTAAACCCCCAAAGCCCTTGAAGTACTTACCACAGACGTAAATTCTAGGTTTTGAACATAAAATGAATGTTCCTCAAATACATATGTTTTGCAGAAAAGCAGCTTCAAAAAATTACATATGCTTTCATGATAAAGGGAAGAAAATTACCACTTTCTTCATCTGAGTCAAGGGAAATCCACATTCTTTCCCCTATGCCCAGACTCTACTTCAAGACATATTTTTAG